AATTTACATTAAATTTTAAAAAAAAAAGTTTTATTATAAACATATTGGTGTATCAATCTTTTTGCACCGGACCATATAATCATATAAGATAATTTTGAATACTATATTATTAGAATATCACGTGATATTAAATCAACTCACATGATATACACGAAAAATGATAATCCCAAAAAGTTCCTACACGTAAATATGCCGTGGTAATTATTTTTATTTTGATAACTAAAGCAAGTAAATTTTTTTTTTTTTTTTTTTTGTGTATTGTTACAGTTTATTTTTATGCTGAAATTTTGAATATTTTTATTTTTTTTATGAACCTTCTTTGTTCCTTTTGCGACTTAGCTTGAAAGATGTATGAAGAACGCGTCATAATGCCATTGTTTTTATCGAACAGTGCAAATTTGAACACTAATGCATTAGCGAATAAATTTCATCATCTTGATCGAATAGAAAAAGAACGATGTCGTCAAGCAACCAAGAATTCCAATGATCCATTCAGTATGTCAATTGCAATCAATAGAGCATCAATTAACTATAATAGGTATAGTGACATTATACCGTTTAATTACAATAGGATAAAGTTATTGCAACAAAGACCAAATAAGACGGACTATATTAACGCAAGTTATATTGAAGCGCCAAATAATGTTAGAAGGTATATCGCAACTCAAGGACCATTGAAAGAGACCATTGAAGATTTTTGGTTAATGATTTGGGAAAAGGAAACTCATATAATCGTAATGTTAACAAATCAAATTGAGAGAGGAGAAATTAAATGTGAAACCTATTGGCCTAAAGAAATTGGAAATTATACGATGTTTAAAGACATTGGATTAAAAGTTACATTGGAATCCGAGATATTGGATTCAAAAGCAACTTGTTATGAAAGGACTTTTAAACTTGAAAAATTACGAGGAAGAGACATAATCACAGAATCAAGACAGATCACTCAATTACAAACCATTGCATGGCCGGATCACGGAGTTCCTGATTCACCTGATCCTATTAATAATTTAATTATTAAGATGAACGAGCGTATGCAACATTGTAATCGAAATTCTGGGCCCATCGTGGTACATTGCAGCGCAGGATGTGGTAGAACTGGTACTTTTTGCACGGTAGATTCTACTTTGGCTCTATTGCCTGGTTTACAACAGAATGATTCTACCGATTTGATTTTTAACGTTGTTCAACACTTTAGACAACAACGTATTTCGATGGTACAAAATTTGGCTCAATATCAATTTTGTTATTTGACTGTCCTTAGTAAACTTGTATCGGATTGTGAATATTAAAAAATAATTGATCCTTGATAACTTGTTAATAAAGGCTGACTTTAAAAATCGTCCCCGATTAATTTTTTTCTTTTTACTCTTTTTCAACGATCATATGCAAGATTTAATTTATTTTTCGCAACAAAAACTTTATTTTTTCATCATCATGATAAATGGATTTAAATTCGCTTTTTTCTTCTTTCTTATGATTTCTTTACTTTTTTTTTTTTTGGATCCACCTTCTTATTCCGATTCGAAAAAGAAATTGAATTATGTCTAAAAGGAAAAATTCGACGCATAAAAGTTTTAGCGAAGACGAAATTATTGATCTAACCAATGAAATTAAAAAAGAAAAAGAAACAGTAATTGTTATTTCTCAAATAAATTACATAATCAGTGCTTACCTCTCTCAATTTCCTTTTTTTAATTCCTTTTTATTTTTTTTTTTATTTATATATATATATTTATTTATGTATGTATGTATTAAAGGAAGACCTATTTTCACCAAAATACTTCACTCAACATCCAATTTCATATACAAATCAATATAAAGATGAACGTCCTCAATCATCAGATCCTCTCCAATCTGATCCTCCCTCATCCTTTTCTCCTGTCTACTGTGCACATGATAATCCACCTCCTGTATCACCAAATCAACCTGGCTTGCGTTGTAAAAAACGTGCATGGACCAAAGAGGAAGACCACGCTTTACTTGATTCAATCATTGTTGAATTATCAGGCCGTTGGTCCTCAATTTGTTCTCGAAATGAATTACTGATTCAACGCGGGCCTAGCATGGCGTCACAAAGATTTAAAAGCTCGATTAAACATAAGCTGTTGAGTGGAGAAAATTCCAAAAGGCCACGATTAAAGGATGACGAAGAATAACCTAATTTTAAATTCGATTGTTGTACTAGAATTGCATTCTAGCTTTTTTTATTTTTGGATTAGTAACAACTTAGCCTTATCTATTACACGTGCCTATCATTAAATCAGAATTACTATGTTTTATTGGCTTATACTTAATTAGTTGGTAAATCTTTTGTAACCCAAAATTATCTTATCAGATTATTGATAAAAAAATTATTCTTTTTTTCGCGCTCGCGACCGATTAAAAAATAAAATTTTTAATTTCACTTTTCATGTAAAAAAAAAATTTCTTTATTAATATCAGGTTCTATTGAGAATACTTTTTTAATATACTTTTTATATTTTGAATAATAAATAATGGACATTTCAATGGATGCTGTTATAAATATTGAAGGACCGGATCTTAATATACAGCCACACAGTGAAAACGAAAATAATAAATTCGAGTCAAAAACAATTATTAACCTCCCTTTTCAAAGTATACAAAATAATAATATAACAGAGTCTACTTCAAGTATTATTTTATCGCAAACGCATGTTACTCCTTTACAAAAAATATTCGCGGCATGTAGTGGAGCTTTATTAACTTCATTATTTAGTAAGTTTTATTGATTCACAACAGATAAAATAACTATTTTCTTTACGTGATTTAGCATGTTAATTTAACAATTTCTCTTCTTTTTGATTTAATGTTGAAATTCTTTCTTAGCTACTCCATTTGACGTTGTTAAGACTAGGTTACAGTCTCAAAGTATATTCAACGGATCATCACCTTCATTATATTCTACTTCCACTTCCTTAACAAATTGTTGTCGAAAAGTTTTCTTTTCCTCACAAAATTTAAGACAAGAATTTTTATGTCATTTGGATTCGTCTCATGTTACTTCTAATCAAGCATCGACACTCAGTTGTTCAATAACAGATGCATTAGCACCCAGTCGTCAAATAACCGCAAATCATCATCTCAATGGATCATTGGTAACTTTTTCAAATTCTCTTCAGAAAAACTCGAAACCTTACATAACTAATTTATTTATTTATTTATTTTTTTGTTTCCTTTCAATTAGGACGGGATTGTAAAGATCGTTCGTTATGAAGGAATTACCTCATTATGGCGAGGATTATCACCTGCACTGTTAGTTCTACTTTTGTCAATTGGAAATATTTTCATTGTTAACGAGATATTGATCATACCTACACGTTTTATGTTTATATAGAGTAATGTCTATCCCTGTAACCGTAATATATTTTGTAGGTTATGATTACTTGAGAGATTCATTATGGTCGAATTGGAAAGGAAAATATTCCGAAACTTATTCACCATTGATTGCTGGAGCAACAGCAAGAAGTACGATCTCGCATACATTATATAAAACAATCTAAAATACCTTGTTGCTAAAATAATAATCACTTTTTTTTTTTCAATTTCGTTTAGCAATTTCTGCTACAGTGATATCTCCATTAGAGTTGTTTCGAACTAGAATGCAAGGACCTGAAGGTGCAAATGGTTTGAAAGAGGTTATGAAGGGAGTTCAAAAGATGGCAAAGATTAATGGCGTCTCATCATTATGGCGAGGTTTAGAGCCTACATTATATCGTGATGTACCATTTTCTGGTATGAAATTATATTGTTTCGCAAAATCTCAATTTTTTTTCTTGTTTCCCCTCACTTTTTTTGCTATCGTTATTCATTTAAATCTTATATATTTACAAAGCTATTTATTGGGCTGGTTATGAATTGACAAAAAAACATTTAAGTAATTATATGCATGAGAAGAATGTTGATGGCAATATTAATAAGTTTGAAATTGCATTTTTAAGTGGCGCTGCTTCTGGATCGGTACGAGTTTTGAAATTCATTTGTTTTTATGATTCATTTTTATTTTTCAATTATTAATTAAAATTAAATGTTTGTTTTACAAAGGTTGCAGCTACATTAACAACACCCTTTGATGTAGCAAAGACCAGAAGACAAGTAGCTATGAATCAAAGTAAGTGACCTGTATTATTTTATGATCTCTCTCTCTCTCTCTCTAAACGTTCTAAACATTAAAAATTTTTAATTTAATGAAAAGCGAAAAGGCCAACCATGAGCAGAATCTTGAGACAAATTGTTGAAGAAGAAGGGTATAAAGGATTATTCAGAGGTAGATATTTTTAAACTTGAAATTTTTTTTAATTACGTGAATTTATTTAATTACTGATTAAAATAAAAAAACATTTATATACATATAGGAGGAACTCTTCGAATATCTAAAGTAGCTGTTAGTTGTGCACTTATGATTTCAACTTATGAAACACTTCTAAAATGAAAAAAATTGTTTCATTTTGCTTTTTGTCTATAAAAAATTTTTGAAACAGTTTTTAATTTTGTACAAAAGATTCTTTTTTTTTAAAAAAAAAAAAAAACTTGAATGATTAAAAAATTGTCTTAAAATTCTATTAACCGGTCCTAACTGGAGGAGAAACCTATAAATTTGGTCAAATTACAATATTTATATGTTTTGCTTTTTTTTTAAAAAAAAAAAAAAACAAAGGAATATTAAATTCTAAAAACCAACCAAAATAACACCATCACCACGTACAAATAACATTTCCGAAGTTTTTTTTTGAGTCTAAAAATCCATAATAAAATTAATTTCACTTTTATCTTTTTCGAGTAAATTAAATTGAACTTACACGAATAACTTCTTCATATGTTTCTTCATTAATTTCTACGACTGTAATAGTTTCTTCAACTTCACTCAATACCATATTCAAATGACCATCATAAGCCTATTCAATTATGGCATTAACGCGTTCATTTAACAAATATTTCATAAATAATACGCGTAAATTAATTAAGCTTTGAAAAAATGGCAAGGTTCATTATAGAAACAATGATGCTTACATGAAGTTTACCACGTAGTTCACGATCTCCACGTAACTTGACGTATATTCGTTCATCAAGTGATAAGCGAACTAAATCAAGTGGCTCTTCTACGGCGGCGGGTTCAACTGGAGCGGTATGAGTTTCTTCCGTCATTTTTTTTTTAAAAAAAATTGTGAAGAAAATATCTGAACTATAATATAAAAAAATATATATAACGTTAATTTGTAAATTTCAATGACGAATAAAATGTTTAGAAAAAATTGAGTTATGGCGCAGTGATCAGGTGTTTTTTAAAACATCATCTTGGTCAAGAATAAATTTTATTTATTGATGATATTACATTATCAGAAATTATTTATAGTTTTTAGAATTCAAAAGCTCTCGAAATAACAAGGGCTTAGGACAAATTCAAACAATTTCATATTACAGGTATAAAAGGTATATACAGTATAAAAGGAGATATTGCATCTTTTGTTTGTTCTTTGCTCAACTAATAAAAATTATCCAACCCCCCATATCACTATTGATTTTAAGATAAAATTGATGTGTAAAATTTGCAAATGGAAAGCTTAAAATATAGTATTTTTTTTAAAATAAAAAAAAACTAAAAATAACTATCTTGAATATATTTAAAGCTTCGTAAGATAAGAATATAATTGTGATCGAAAAAAAGAGATTGGGATTTTTTTTAAAAATAACAAATGAAAAAATTACAAGTAAAACAATTCCAATTATTCTGCCTAGGACGTTAGGTTCTACTTGAGAAATACTTTGTCCTAAACGAGAGATGATTTCATTTTTATCATTGTCAAAGTATATAGAAACTCTTTCATTTTCGTTGGTGAAATTTATGGTGAGATTTGAACCAGTAGCTTTCAAATATTCCGTTCCAAGAACGTTAATGTCCGTGAAGTTTGAATCGATGGGAGGAGTTTGTTGTTTAACAATATTTGATAAGTTGATGAGTTGGGTAGAATTACTTTAAAGGATTCGTATACAAATATACGTTTTCGGGGATCCCGTGTCTATCACAAAGTGAACATTTTTTGTTTTTTGCTTTATTCTAACTGGTAAAGAAACAATGATCCTTAGATTAGGACCGAAGATAATGCCGTTAACTTCTTTTAATTCTGTGTGGAGTGACTCTGATAAATATTCAACTTGAAGTTTTTTAGAAATTTTTTCATGAAGATCTTTAGAACGAAGATCAACTAAGAGCAGGTCAAACATTTTTACCGGATATGAATTGTCTCGAACATCTTGTAGTGAAAAAAATAAAAAAAAAAAGTTTAACGGAAAGTGGTCACGAAAATCATTACGTAATAAATAGTCTATTTTTTTTTTTACTTTACGATTGATACATTTATATATTTTGTCAGAATTCTGTAAAAGAAATGTCGGTAACAAAATTTACCTCTTGTGGATTTTATAGGCAAGATCTGTTACAAATGAAATTAATTCTAACGATTCGTAAAGAAGATTTATATAATTTTACGTAAGGGTATCCCAACATTTTTTTCATTACCATGTGATTTTGGCCGGCATTACTGAACTTGTCGAAATTATCCGTATGAACAAATAAGGTGACAAATAGGGGTTTCACAGAAAAAAAAATCGTAAAGTGTGGTAATGTTTAATTATTCATATCATAATATTTTAAACTTTTACAGCAATTTCTATTTTCTAGTTTATTCAACATATTGATTAATTATATTTGCTATCTTATAACTATAATATGACGAAATAAAGAAAGAAAATGTAAAAAATTATAGCAAAAAGAAATTATCTATCCTATTCTTTATTTAACAGATATTAATAAGTAGATTTGTTCTTGTAAGCATTTAATACATTTTAAGGAATCAGTTTTTACAAATTATTTTAAAAGATATTTAACATATTTTAATTTAATAAAAGATTTCAAAATGATTAAAATATAATCATTTCAGAGTTAATAATTTTTAATCATCAAATAACTTAAAACATATTAATTTGCTATAATAAAACATTAATATAAAACGTAAGTTATTCATTTATCTATAATAATAATATTAATCTATTTAATTTAACCATTATAATTTTTTTTCAAGAAATCTTTTCTTTTCTAGTTTAATCAATATAGAGGATAGGCAATAATAGGCTAATGTTTAATCTCAGAGAAATTTGATAGTTGACAAAAACAGTTTATCTAATGTCAATTTCTTCAGTTGAAATAATTTCTTTTAGTATAAATGCTTTAATTATTTCTTATTCTTTCTTTTCTTCATATTATAATGAGCAATAATTTCATTTTCTTGATAAGGTTATTTAATGCATTTAAATTTATCACTTTTTCATTTAGATTGTAAGAAAGATCATCAACATTTTTGATTTTAAAAAATCTATTTCATATAAAGTTTTATCTATATAATCTTTTTTGCTCTCTGTGATATTTGCCAAAATTCTAAAGAACAGTTTGACTTTTTCAATGCATTTTATGAGAATTTAACTAATTGATCATTGATTTTGACTCTTAGTTTATCTTAATCAAAATATATTCTAATATTAATTGCTTTAAATTAATTTATTCTAGTAATAAAGTATCTTAGATTGATTTGATTATTGTAAATTAACTAAAAATTTTGTTCCTTACAAAATGAGAGGAACAGAAATTATAATATTCAACAATCTTTTATATTTTCTGTTCATAGTTATAACTAGAATATTAAAAGACTTATCAGATTTAAGATTGAGTTTAGAGGTCAAAGTAGTCAAAATTATGTATGCAGTTGCATTTGAATTCAGAAATTTTCAATCAGATTCAATTTATGTCTTATAATACATCTAGCAATAGTAGATTTATTATTGTTAGTTATATAAGTTTGCATAATATTTATTTCAACTTCCATTTTTTTTTCAATCTTTTATTTTTTTAATTATTGAAAATAGGAAGGATTCCTTAATAGTTATCTGAAAGTAATATTAGAATTAAAATATTCAAGAATTTTAATCATTCTATAATAAGGTATTATAGGTATAAATTAGACATTTGGTATCAACTTGAAAGATTGAGATGGGATTTTATTTTATTATTCCTGATTAGATTTTAATTAGAATAATAAAATCTAAGTAATCTATAATAAAATAGATTGAATAGTTATATAAGTTTTTATTCAGCTTTGGCTTCTTTAATTTCTATTAAATTAACATTTTTTTATTACATACCATTATTATTTTAATTACTATTATTAGGCTGAAAATTAAATAAAGACTATATTAATATATATATTTAAGTTTTAATCTTCATTTCTGATTGATAATTTCTAGTTATATGTCTTTCTTTATCACAATTCTAATATTCAAATCTTTTTTTGATTATTGTTATAATAACTTTTTTAATTTTAGTTCTGATTATTCTAATTATTAAAGTAATTCGATTAGTAAATTTAATTTTAGCTAAAGTTGCAATCAACTGAGAAACTTATTATTATAGTAATTCCATTTGATTTGTTATAATTTGCTATTATTGAACAGGTTAAGTAATAATAATATTTGTCTCAATTTCTTTTACTTTAGTAATAGTTATATTTAAATTATTTAGACTATATTCTATTATTATTATTATAATATAAGAATTAATCTTTTGATAAATTGCTAATAATATATTATTATTTAAATCTTTCTATAGAGTTAACTTATTGAATTAATATCTTATATTTTTGAATATAGTAGCTACACTTTGTCTTGATTGTTAATAAATTAATTCTAAATCAGTTATTAATTTATTTTTCATAGTAGCATTGGTAAAATAATTTAAGAAATAATCAGTGAAATTATATTGACTTCCTTGCAAATTTCAATTTTGAAAATTGTTTTAATTTTCATTACATCATTTATAGTAGTATTTCTTAAATATCTCTTAGCAATAGCTATTTTTCTATTGTTATTCTATGATTATTCATTTAAAAGAACAAACTATTCATAAGAATCTTTGTTATTAATTTCATGAAAATAGTTAGATTTTATGAGATTTAGTTTTGCTCTATTTGTCTAGATTATATTTCTTTACTGGATTAGTATTTATAGTCTATAATATTATTGAAGTATTTACATTATCTAAAAGTTACTTTAGTTATTATTAATATTAAATGTGTTTGTGTTGAATGCAAATTGAATAGCAACAAGTTAAACTGAAGCAATTTTAAATCCTATATTCCTTGTATTAGATCTCTATTGATATGATTATTATTACCTAGTTAAGTAGTATTCTTTCTTATTCTATATCTAGAAGAAAAATTAAAATTATCAGTATTTGTGCTTAATGAAGAATTTATACTTAAAAAATTATATAATTGATAAGATTTAGAAATATTTTCAGTTAGTTTAAAAGTAACCTTTTTTGGTTCATTTACTTTGAATTATTAATAAGAAATCATAAACAATATCTTAGATATTATTAAAATGTAATCTTTTTAGATTGTAATACATCAGTAAATTTAATAATGCGAAGTATTACGTAAACCCTATGCTTCGTAATCTTACGTAAGGTTATGAGCCCGTCGAAAAACTTACGTATCGTAGTACTTCGATATTTTTACGATGTGTAATATTTCGAACGTTTACGATATA